CACACACACACACACACACACACACACACACACACACACACACACACACACAGAGAGAGAGAATGAATAAAGATAAAACAAAGTAAAACAAAGAAACCCAAACAATAAGATAATCCCCCGCCCTTCCCCCACACAAAGAAATCAGAAAGCACCTTCATGGCAGTTCCCAGAACACCTGAGTACAGAATAAGCAAAGATACTGGTCTAACACAAGCATGCATTAACAGTGGAAAATCCAGCAGCCCAGACAGGCCTTCCTTGAGGGAGGAAAAAAGATGAGAACCACTCCTCCTGCTGGAGGTCCCACTTCCACACTGCCTTCAATCTTCCCATGAGCTCTCTATTGAGCGTTTTAAACTGGACTTGGTGTGCTCTCCACATTTAAAACACTTGAAAACATGTTCTACAGTACTCAAGCCATCCTCCTAAAAAAAAAAAAAAAAAAAAAATGGATACAGTAGTTAAGGGAGAGGGTCTAGGAATTTACATTTTCAGAAATTGCCAGGCCTTCTGGTGGAGTCAGGCTTCAAATCCATCAGACCTTAGAGTTTCCACTTGTTTGTTGCTATACTTGGGGTTTGGTCCAGGACTTCCAGTAAGCTAGCCTAGCACTCTGTCATCAAGCCCCAGTCTCCACCAAACCTTTCTACTGAGGGAGCTCACACCGCTGCTTAAAGGAATGGGACAGGAAGAAGGCAGAATGCAGCTTTTCTTTTCTCTTCTCTCCGTTCTTTATTTCTTTTCTTTTCTTTCTTTCTTTCTTTCTTTCTTTCTTTCTTTCTTTCTTTCTTTTTTTTTTTTTGGACAAGGTTTCTCTGTGTAGCCTTGGCTGTCCTATAAATCATTCTGTAGACCAGGCTGGCCTTGAACTCACAGAGATCCACTGCCACAGCCCAGGCCTTGGGATGTATGTTTTCTAGTGTTCTTGATTGAAGAAGCATGACTTATCATGGTGCTTGTATACTGTAGAGATTTTGAAAGCATGTCTTCTAGTTGCCAATATATAATTGAATTGGTAAGAAAACTCAAGTTTCAAACTGAATTCTAAACTGACTTACAAAATGAAAGTCACGGTTATTTTCTTATCCTTAGACTTCTGATGTTTGGAAAGCTGAGGTTTTTACAGCAGGATGATCTGCACTGACTGGTGACCCACGCCCCTTACTCGTAATCCGTTTCCCTCCTTTGTCTTGAGAGAAAGGTATCACTGCTGCTCTTTTTCTTTAAATTCTTCCAATTCCTTATGTCTTTCCCTCATTCTCTGAAACAGTTCTTTGCTAGACACAGGGATTATTCCTCTAAATGAAGAATCTTTGTTTCTTTCTCCTCCTTTTATAGCCATCTTGTAAACTGGCACTAAGATTATCCACCCTTAACTTACAGATGGAGAAGATAGAGCTTACACAGTTTCAGCAGTTTGCTTCAGGACACCTGTGAAGTTCTCATCCCCCATCATATTCCTTTGGTTTGGAACACCAATTCCTCTACCTCCACAGCCCTTTGTATCTTTCTTCAGTTGCCACAGATTTGTCTCTTGCTCCTAAATTTCCACTTAAAGGTTGGTGTAGAGCTATCCATTACTTAACTTCTATTTATGAGTGGCCCACTGCCTCTATGGGTTTCAGAATACCGTATGCAGCTGAATTCCTGGGTTTTTCACTAGATGACTCCAGGGCCCCAGATCCGTACCCAGTCTTTTATTACCAGTTTTGGTTGTGGAATGTGCCTGAAATTATATATATATATACTGTATGCTACTAAAATGGTTTGTAGAGTCTGCTGTGGCCCTTCCTTTCCTTGTCTGACAAGCCTTTCATGATTGACCATCCAAAAGTGAGAAGTTAATCTAAAAGAAGTCATTTTATTCCAATTATTAAAAATAGCCTTGGTAGTAGGTACAAGAGATAGTTTAGCAACTCAAATCACTTGTTAGAGGACCTGAGTTTAAATCCAAGCACCCATACTGTGGCTCACAATAGGTTGTAAATTCAATTTCAGGGGGTTCACCTCTTCTGACCTTGCTGGGCTCCTGCATACATGTGGTACATATACAGACACTCAGGCACACATACACACATACAATATGAAATAAATAAAAAGTAGTCCTCTTGGGACTGTAGAGGTGACTTAGCAGTTAAGAGAACGGGACACTCTTCCAGAACTACATTTGATTCATAGCACCCACTGGGAGCTCACAACTGTCCATAACTCCAGTTCCAGTGATCCAGGCACACACCTGGCGAATGGACATGCATGAACCCAAAACAGCCTTCAGACCGCCTTACTCCTTTCTCTCCCAATTCTGTGTAGCCACTAATTGGATTTGTAAGTTAAATCATAAAATAAATGATCCTTTATGATTGGTTTCTTTCATTTAGCATTTTGCTTTCAAGGTTTGCCTTGCTTTGCTATGCTAATGGACACCACAGATGTTTAGTAATACACAGTTTCTTTTGGACCTGACAGTAGCACAGTGTTTATCCTTTGATGCAATACTACATCCCACCACCCTCAAGAGACTGTGCTATTTTATATCCCAACTGCAGTATATGAAGGAGTTCCAATTTTCTCAAAACCCAGTCAACATTTATCTTCCTTGTTATAGGCATTCTATAGACTACTGTGATTATATTAACTGTCCATTGTTACTGGAAAAGCAAAAATGTTGAATTGCTAGGGATTGGAAACAAGACTGGAAAAAAACACCTAAGTTCAAGTCTGAGTCTTTTAGTCACAACACAAAGAGAAGATTGATACCATGTTCTCTAAACTCCCTCAAAGAAGCTTTATGAGAGTCTCTTCTTTCTCTAGCCCCCATACCTATCTACAACCGGTGGCAGTGTGACCCCGGGAGAAGTCTTGCTTAGCAGGGCATGCTCTTTAGTTCTCCTCCATCGTCCCCCTTACTATTTCTGCCTCTGAATTGGGCAATAATCCACAGAACGCGCTAGGTTTCGTTTGCCCACAGCTCTTCTCCAGGGATGAGAAGTGGGCGTTACTGCTTTCTAGAACAAGAACGTGGAGGATGGAAAAAACTACAACACCCAAGAGTCTATGCGGTGCTGGCAAGAGTAGCTCAACTACGGCCGACAGTACAGCGCCCTCTCCGGTGTATTATTGTTAAAACTTAGAGGTGAGTCATCTGCGCGCATGCACACTCATGTCTCAACTAGTATAGCGTCTATCCTTTCTGCAGGCGCTTTTCCGGTCCGGCTGACGCAGGCTCTTCCCCGCCCCATTCTCAGAGTCTGGAGAGGGTGGGGCTCTGAGCAAGCGCGGTCACAGATTTTTAAGAGGGAGGAGACGAAGCTTTGGGTGTGGAAGGGAGCGTAAAAGACTGCGGGGCGCATGCGTCCCAACAGCGCTGCCCGCCTCGGTGAGTTACAGGTGGCGGGGCGGAAGTGGCTGCTGGGCTGACGTACGCGCATTGGCTGCTAGTGCCCATCCTCCGGAAGTGGGTTGGCCGCCCTGCGGCAGACCCCGCCCCACCCCGCCCCCTGCTACCCGCCCCCTGCTCTCTTAGGTGGCGCCGGCTTGCGGCCGGTGTGGCAGCGGTGTTGGTTCTAGAAGCCGCAGCGGGCACATTTTCTGGACAGTCGGCAGGGCTATGGTCGCCGGCTTCCGAAGGCCCGCTCCGCATCTCAGCCCGATCCTGAGCGGTAGCCAGAGCGTTCTCTTCAGCCAAGTCCCCCGGCGCGTTCGGCTGCTCCCCGGGCGCGCCCCCTCCGATGGCGGCAGAGATCCAGCCCCAGCCACTGACCCGCAAGCCGATCCTGCTGCAGCGGGTCGAGGGGTCTCAGGAGGTGGTCAACATGGCGGTGATTGTGCCTAAGGAAGAGGGTGTCATCAGTGTCTCGGAGGACAGGTACTGACTGCTTGCCCCTGTGCCGCGCGGAGGTCCGGCCCTGGCTTGGTGGGAGTGTAGACCGCACCTACGGATTCAGTTCCGAGCACGGTGGCCTCGGCCTCAGCAATTGGCTCCTGGCGAAGTCCGAGTAGCCCTTGGGTTAACAATGCAGAAGACACCAGACCTGGTCCAGTTTAGGGGATGGGAGGGGCAGAGGGAGGAGCCGCCCGGCTTTGCAGGTGTTTTAGCTAGGAAGACCCTCCATACACGGGGATGATTTGGAGGCGCTGCTAGTTGGTCCCGTTCTTGGTTACCCAAACGAGAAAGGGAACGTATTTTCTTTCTTCCATACGGTTCACCGAATCTGTGCATCTCCAGGACATCTTTCACCGAACTCAAGGACTTGTTAAATTGTGAAGAGAGTAACTTTGGGTTTCTGCGTGTGGTGCCTTGCTTTCCTAAAAGTTTCTATCTTGGAGCTCAAGGGGAAGTGTGTGGAAGTTGCAAGGGATCAATTTTGCAGACAACTGCTTGAGTTCCTTCCCTTTGCCTACTTCCTTTCCGATTGCTTAACTAGCAGAAGTAGCTCTGGTTCTGCCTTCAGTATTCCCTATTGCATTGCGTTTTTGATTTCCAGAGGAATGCTCCTTGAATATAGGAACTAGGATAATATATCTGAAATTACTATTTGGGTAATATCTACAAGCATTTTAAAAACAGTTGTAACATGGTAGAGGTATGTAACTGGGTTTTTAGCTTCAGTCAGGTAGTTAGGTTTTCTTACTATAAGTTGGTACCACGCTGAGGTAGAGTTATTTTGTGACTCTTAAAATTGCAAAGATAGAGCAAAAAGTGTTCACTTTAAAGAAAATAGTCATTTCAGCACCTTCTATAATGTAAATTCAAACATTTTTACCTGATTTGTTTCTTAGGTTCTTGAATATAACTGGGAAGAGTGTATTATATGTGTCTATTACATATCTACATTGGCATCATTCTTGATACAAATGGCACCTGCTTCATTTCCTATGCAGATCTGTGGGGAAACATTGCCGACATGTTATTGGCAGTCAGTCCGGGAAGAACTGAAGACTGACTGACATGGATGTGGGGGCCTTTTGAGATTCATAAAGAAGTCTTATGACAGTGTTTAATTTCTTCCTTTGGTGCAGCATGCTTAGACTGCATTAGACTGTTTCTGGGCTTAACATTTTCGTCAAAGAATTATCTTTTTGGAATATTTTCCATAAAACATATTGAAGGAATATATTGATAAATGTCCCTTTCCAGTACTAGAGATGATGAAATTGATTCCCGACCTGTAAACAATTAGTAGGTTTATTGAATCCAGTCGGAGGAGGAGAAGGTTGTCCAGACCTCAGCTCCGTCATTGTAGGTTAGAACCATCTGCTTCCCATTTCAGTGTGCTTTCCTCGGGGGAAACAGCTTTAGTGGAGGTACTAGTCAGTGTCTAGAGAAGCTAAAGGATATGTGCAAGAAGGTGAAGAGTAAGTTTCAGTTCATCGTAGCACAAAGGAAGTGCAGTCTTTAAGGATCTTTCACTTTCCTGGTTTGCAGTGTACATAACAGAGTATATCTTACTGTGGAGTTACTATGAAACTGGCCCCTACAGTAATTCTGGGTCCTTGTCTCTGTAAATTTTATTACTCAGGTTGACAAGTCTGTGCTTCTTTGTGTCAGTCAACCATGAATGTAGCTGTTTAAGGCAATTTTAGTTACGGTTTTCCCTAAAAGAAAGAATTGATCTGCGTTCTTGCTTTTCAAAGGCAATGTTAGTGTCACTTGAAATAATGCTAGAGATAGGAAGATAGAATATTGATTTTTACCAACACTTACAAAACCATTACCATTAGCTGCTTTGCCAGTTCGTTTCTGAGCCATGAGGGTCAGCTACACATAGTGTGCTATAGCATTGCACTTCTGAAATCCTAGTTCCCCTTCTTCATTCGGACTCATTATAGCCTTTATCCGTACCATTGAAGAAGCTTAATATTTTTTGTTTTAAACAGTGATATACCTATGTTATGTCTGCTTTGTCTTCTGTGAATTCTCTAGAGAGTGTTGTGTACCTTATTGACTAGCGATCTACATTGTACCTGGCACAGTACCTGAAAATCCAGCACTTAACTATTCTGGATTAATTGATGTTTGTTGAGTGAGTATTTGGATGACTTGTGGAAACCTTATGTAGACAAATATATGTCTGTGGGCAAAGTATTGGACTAGGTGGCCACGGTAAAACTGAGAATCCAAGCATTGCTTCAGTCATTCTATCAGACAGTAAAGTTCCTAGTGTGTTCTCATCTTGTGTGAGTGTATATGCGTGTGTGTGTGTGCGCGCGCACATGCGCGTGTGCATGACAGTGATGAAAATAATAACCTAGTCTCTTCAAGGTGCTCACAAAGTTGAATAGCAGAAATTTTAGAGTGTAGGTTTTGTTTTGTGTATGTGTGTGGTGCTAGGGATGAAATTCTGAAGTCTGGGCATATTAGGCAAGTACTCTACCACTGAGTCACACCCCAGGCCAAGATTGTTATGTAATAAAACCGTTACATTTAAGATAGAGTGTTGAAAAGAGAACTTTCTGATGGGGACGAGTGGCTGGGCTCCACAGCCCCGTCACTCTCTAACTCTCCTCTCCTTTGGAGGATTGTTACACTTGAAGTACATTTTCATTCACAGCCTTCTCTCACTAGTGAGCTGGTGGTTTTCAAATCTTCCAGCTGAAGAGTAGGCGAAAGAAACCTTTGGCTTCACGTTCACTGTGGTCCAGTTGGGGCCACTTGGAACTTTATTTGATATCAAAGGAGGAAACATAGAGAAAATAAGAACTATAAAAACAAACTGACTTGCTAGTGAAGCTTTCTGCCCTACTGCAGAACTATTCCCAGAACTCACGGCCTTGCAGAGGCTTTGGCTGTAACTAGGTTCTAGTTACAAAGGCTACACCAAAATGTGGAATCTAAGTTCCCTCATTTCCCTGCTTCTTTTTAGGCTGCCCTTTCTAGGCTAATGGTGTTTCAGTGGTCCCGTGTAAGAGTTTCATCTGGGTCGGAGAGATGGCTCAGTGGTTAAGGGTAGTTGCTGCTCTTGCAGAGGATCCTGGCTTGATTCTCAGTACCCACATGATGGCTCACTACTGCCTATGACTCCTGTTCCAGTGGAGAAATGGATCTGGTGCACATGCATGCAGGCAAAACACTAATACATACAGAATAAAAATAAATAGCCAGTCAGTGGTGGGACACGCCTTTAATCCCAGCACTCTGGAGCCAGAGGCAGGCAAATCTCTGAGTTTGAGGCCAGTGTCGTCGAGAATGAGTTTCAGGACAGCCAGGGCTACACAGAGAAATCCTGTCTTGAAAAACCAAAATAAATATTTAAAAAGAGGAGAAAAGTAGGTTGAAAAAAGAGTACCATCTCAGACCTATGTGCTCTGTTTTGATCAAGATTTTGTAATTTACAAGGGATGTCTTGTTTAGTAGAGCCTTAGGTGAAGAAAGCCAGGAGGAACCTCTGTCCAGGTATGACACAGCCCTGTCAGATGCTTCTCTTTGGTTTTAGGTTTCTATTGCTGTAATAAAGACCTCAACCCAAAACAACTTGGGGGAAGATAGGGTTTATCTGAAGCATGAAGTCAGGACTAGGACCTGGAGGTAGCAATTAAAGCAGAGGCCGTGGAGGAGTGCTGCTTACTGGCTTGCTCTCCCCAGAGATTGTTCAATCTGCCCACAGTGGGCTGGGCCCTTTTACACCAACCATTAATTAAGAAAATGCCATCACAGAGTTGCCCGCAGGCCAGTCTGGTGGAGGCATTTTATCAATTGAGATTCTCTTTTCCCAGAAGATCCTAACCTGTGTTAAATTGACAAACTAATCAGCACCCCTTTCTAGGATCATTAGATACATTAGATACCCAGGACAGCTATCTTGCCATCCAGAGTCTCTGTGGTTAGGAGTAAGGTAAGACTGGGGCGGCCTATGCTAGGAGGGCTCCGTCCTGAGTGTTGCCGTGCTGCGGGGAATCTGGAGGACGAGTGGCTCCAGGAGTAACTAAAGCAAAAATAAAGGGGGGGGGGAATTTACAGAAACACCTGGGTGCAAGCATTTGGAATTCTTTTCCTGGTTAAACAGACTTGTGGAAACGGGTGGGCATGTGAGAGGGAACCTGAGGGAGGGTGGCCTAGTTTGATTCCTGCCAAAACACTGTGCCAAAAGTGTCTTGGGGAGGAAAGGTTTTATTTGGCTTACTGGTCCAATCACAGTCCGTTATCCTAGGAAGTCGGGGGACAAGCTCCAGACTATAACGGAAGCAGAGGCTTACTGGCTTGTTCAGCTTGTTTTCTTACACAGCTAAGGACCACTTGCCTTGGGGTAGTACTGCTCACAGTGGGTTGGGCCCTTCCCCATCAATCATTAATTAGGAAAATGCCACATAGACATATGTCTATAGGCCAGTCTGATGAAAGCAGTTCCTCAATTGAGGTTTCCTTTCCCCAGTTGACCTTAGTTTGTGTCAAGTTGACCAAAACCAACTAGCACAGAGAGGTTAAGTACTGGAAAGGGGACTTTGGGGAACTCCCTCAGACTTTGACTATCGAGACCCAGGCTTTTCAGCAGCATCCTTAGGGTAGAACTCACGAATAATAAGGGTCAGATTTACATCCCTGTAGAAGGAAATCTGATGCCCAGTGGCTTGTACAAAGGACCTTGTCAGTTCCTTAAGTGAACTCCCGACTCTGAGTTGTAATTGCTCGAGTTTCCCTAAACAGATACTTAAAACTGAGCCTCAGAGAAACTTAGCAGCTTGCCCTAGGCTGGGATAACCGGTCTTCCTGGGATGGAGATGCCAATGAGCTGGGACTAGAGAGGAGTTTTATTTCTGTCTTTAAAGCTTTACACTTCTAAATCTCTCAACTGTTGTGTTTCTAAATGGCCTTATGATAGGATAAGTGCAGGGGGTGTATCTCTGATGGACCCATGCCAAGATGTGCCA